TGTAATGGATTCGACTGAAATTCGAACCCGGGTCTCCGATTCCTCAATCCGAGCCGCCATCCATTACTACACCGTGCTAAATATTCACTAACCCATAAGCGTTGCAAAATTCGCGGTCTCCTGGAATTGATTTAAATTCTTTCTTAAAATGTGTTCTTTATATTATTGCTGCCTATAATATTTAAATTAATAATTAATAATTTATATTGTTGAGAGTCTTAAGGTTGAAAGACGGTGAGTTAAAATAATTATTTAAACAATTTTGAATTTACGTAATTTGCGGTATGTATCAAGCAAGGGAGGTGAATCCATTTTTTGCTTAAAAACCTGTCGTTCGTGGGATCTAAATAAAAGGTTCTTATTGAAATATATTATTGTTGTGACCTAGAAAGGGTTACTGAATGAGGAATAACGAAAACGGAGGTTGGAAATGAAATCTTTATAACATCAACAAAATACAATACTCGCCAGCGGCGTGAAGTAGGTAAACCACTGCTCGTTGTGGACTACATAGACACCATATCATCCCCATTACAGTAGTGTCGAACGTATTTATGAGGATTGGGTCATATCCATTAGTGTTCATAGGTACGGTATATAAAATTCCTAAAGCAATGCCTAATGGGATAAACTGAGGTTATAGTTGTTCCAACAAGTGAATATTTTAAAAAGAAGACAGAAACTGCAAACGTTTTTGGTTTTAATGTGGATTTTTAAAAAAAATATATATTATGCTTTATTTTGCATAATTTTACAACACGTGTTTCGGGTCTCGAGAACTTCTTCAGGCAAAGAGTGGATATTTCCAGATAATATTAAAATGAATTAATTTTCCTAACCTTTTTCCATGTTAAACATTCTCTTAAAATACTAATATGCGAAAATAACCACTCTTTGCCCGAAGAAAGTCGGGAAACCCGAAATACGTGATGTAAAATTATGGAAAATAAAGTGTAATATATATATATTTAAAAAAATCCACATTAAAACCAAAAACGTTTGCAGCAGCTTCTCTTTTTTTTTTATATATATATATATATATATATATATATATATATATATATATATATATATAATAGTAGTAGAGCCCGGCGTTGCCCGGGGATGTAACAATAAGAGATAGATCAAGTATCCATCATCATAAAGACTGAAAAATAAAATTGACAAAGATTATTGTTTAAGGTTGACGGACACGCATGTCTTAATTAGTTTTTTTTTGTTTTTGTTTTTTACGAATTGGTCAAACCCAAAATCAAACAAAAACATTGTTTTCAATCGTTAGGATTCTACCGATTGAATAGAATTTTATTATAAACAATTGTCTTGTAAATGAAATTTTAAAGAATTCTGAATGTAAAAATAAAGAAAAAAAAAGTGTGCAAGACAATAAGAAACACTACCTGCCGAAAAAAAAAGTGAACTTTTTGTTGAAATCGGTTGAAAATGTAGGAAATCCGATCCCATATATAAACGAAAACACACACACACACACACACACACACACACACACACACACACACACACACACACACACACACACAAAAAACAAACCTGGGTTTTATAATAACTATAATTCGATATGAGTTGTCCCCCTTTCATTTTCGCAATAGCGATGCCTCTTAATCGTGTTTTCAAATTGATTTCGTGCAAAAACAATTGTGGTTTTCCAATTTTTGGCACTGTCAGAACCACCGCAAAGTAATTTTACGTAGTCCTGTGAAGTTTTGTTAAAATCGGTTGAAAAATGTAGGAAATCCTATCCAATGTATAAACGTACAGATACACACACACACAACCTGGGTTTTATAATAAGTATGATATATATATATATATATGTGATTATATATAGACATGTAGAAAAATAATCAAGTACGGTCTATAGAATTATATATGTATATATTATAGATATATGAAAAAAGCTATTAATGAAATTTGCAATGAATATTAATAGATTTACACATACTAATATACGTAAAATCTATTTTAAAATCTATATTAATCGCACTTAAATTACTCGAGCAGATGTTTACTTTTGTAAACATGTAGACAAATATTCACTTCTTTTGTCCATAAGATTAGGGTTATTTAAGTGTTTTAAGATAATATTTTTTTCTAAAAGACGTAAGTTAAATCTGTCTCCCATTCCGTATATGGTTTTGCTTCGCGATTGTCTCCTAGCTTACGTTATTATGAGTGCTTTTTAATCGCCAAAAATACCTAGAGAGAGTTGTTCAGGTTTTTTTTTATGTTATATTGTTTAGCGTCATTTGGTGATGGTAAAAACGCAATTTCCAATTATTCTCGGAGGAATAAAAGTATTATTTATCATCGTCGTCTGAATTGATCCTAGCTTTGTAGATTAAACCTTTTGTCATGCACTAGCCATTTAGTGGGCAGGTTACGATTTTACGAGAGTTGCATTGGGTTTTAGTAGAATTATTTTTTAGTATTTTGTTTGTGTACTTGCTTAATATATTATTGTTGGGATATATAGTTATTGATGCTTTTACTACAGCTATAGCTTACCTTAATATTATTTTTGTTGAAAATCTTTTTTAGTGTTGGAGATTGACTAAAGCGTTAGTGAATTAAATTTAGGAAAATTATATCTATGTTAGTTTGGAAGTTACTTTTGTAAGGTGGGTTGAACCATATGATGTTACGTTTTTTAGATTTCTTCTATTTTTAATGTTGATTCTTTCTACATGCTCTAATTTCACTTTGTGTTTGCTGGTTGTAGCGTTTTAGTATATTTACTTTTATTATCGACAAATATTTCTTTGTTACTGGAGTTGGTCGATAACCTAAATTCTACTGATTTGTGTAAGTTGTCAAGTATCCTTTTATGATATTTGGATTTTCTTCACAGTATCTGTGGTTGCATGTAACCCTTATGCATAGTTTATTCTAGCCTTTCTTCTTTCTTTTTATGTGCCATGTCCTTTCAGGACGTAGGCGATCATGGTTCTCCACCTCCCTCATTCCTTTGCAGCTCTCAACAAGTTCCTTCCCTCTTCTTTCTCCACCAGACCACGTTCTGTCATCCACTTGCTTAAATCCACCAGATATGTCATGCGTTGTTTTCCCTTATCTTGCTCTCCCTCAATTCGACCCGTGAGTGTAAGGCCCTCCTTCCTCATTACGAGTCCCAGAAACGTCATCTGCCTCTTCCTGATACTAAGTATAAGCCTCCTCCTTGTTTGCAGCCTATCTAAGACCTCAACGTAGCTCACACACTCGCTCCATGATCCTCTTAGTATCCTTTGGTTGAACCACATCTCTGTCGACTTGAGTCTCTTCATCAATCGTCCAACATTCGCTGCCGTAAAGAAGAACAGATGTTATGTAATAGCTCAGTATTCTTTTCTTTCTTACCACAGAAATCTTCCTGTCTTGCAATACTCTGCCCAGCTTTTGGGATGTGTCCTTGGCCATCCCAATACGTCTACGGAACTCAGTGTCGCACTTACCGTCCTCTGTCCAGACAATTCCCAGATATTTCAACTTCTGCGTCTGTTTGATTCTAGTGTCCCCGACCCGCAAATCGCATTTCAGGCTCTTCCTCTTACTGACGACCAGGCATTCTGTCTTCTTGTAGTTTAATTCTGGCCCTTACTCAGGTATAATATAACATTTAGAAAATTGATCACTTTACTGTTAGTATTTGGGTGGGGGTAATCGCTAAAATGTACAGAGGGTCCGTCAACGAAACTATGGAGTCGGATGCTGAAGGTAACATTTATCTGCTAAGTGACAAAGCTTTTACTTGTATTAATTTTCTCTCTCTCTCTCTATATATATATATATATATATATATATATATATATATATATATATATATATATATATATATATATAGTCGACTCTCCCGTCGTATGACGGTCAAGCAGATCAGTTTCAGGAAACTGACAACCCGACAACGACACATGAGATTTGATTATAGTGGTGAAGGTTTCGTGCAGGACCATCCACACTTCACTTTTTGAAGGGCCGAATACAGAGACCTGGTGCACTAAGTGCCACAAGGTTCCTAAACGACCCTCCGCAGGTTTGAATTCAGAGTTGTCCTTCTCCTAGACCAGTTGCCATCCAATGCTATAGAACCCAGTCTGTCCTGCTATTTACCCATAGCTGGAGGGAGAAGAAGAGGATTAATACCTTTCCCAATGGTATTAGCACGTTAGTGAATGTAATGGATTCGACTGGAATTCGAACTCGGCTCTGCGATTCCTCAATCCAAGCCGCTATCCATTACTCCACCGTGCCTCCCCCCTCTCTCTCTCTCTCTCTCTCTCTCTCTCTCTCTCTCTATCTATCTATATATATATATATATATATATATTCTCTCTCTCTCTCTCTCTATATATATATATATATATATATATATATATATATATAGAGAGAGAGAGAGAGAGAGGATGCAAAGGGATATTTTCTTTTAAATGTGAGTGATGAACTAACTAATAGATGTTGGGGTAAATTTAATCGGATGCCATATTATCGTCTTTCTTTGTTTTCCGTTGTTAATTCAATTGCAGAGAAAACGGATTTTTTTTTTATTTAATTACGTTTCTTCTTCTCTAATTTTATTCTTAAATTTTCTTTCGCAGATTCGTCTCACAAACATTCTTTCTTTCTTTTTTATTCATTCTGCCTCTTTATCTTTCATTCTTTCTCTCTCACTCTGTTTTTATTCTTTTTGTTCCGTCTTTTTAGCACGCGTTTTTCATTTGTCAGTCATTCTCTTTTTCTTTCTGTCTTTATTTCTACCTATCTAGTTCTTTCTTTCTTTCTTTCTTTCTTTCTTTTCTTTCTCTTATTCTTTCTTTCTCTCTTTCTTTTGATTATGTAGTTTTCCTTTATCGTTTACATATATTCTTTCTTTTGTTTACATATAATCTTTCTTTCTATTTTTTTTCTTTATTACATATTTTCTTTATTTCATTTAAACATATTTTTTCATTCTTCCTTTCGTCGTTTTTTTCTTTACTCTTCCCTTTATGTTCTTAACTTTTTCGTTTGTATATATTTTCCTTTTTTTTTGCTTACATATTTTCTTTCTTTTTTTCTTTTGTTCTTTCTTTCTTTCTTTCTTTCTTTCTTTCTTTCTTTCTTTCTTTCTCGTACGTTCTACATTATCATTTAGCTTTAATGGAAATTCTTTTTCTTCCTTCCTAAACTCATTTCATTTGTAAAATTTATGTTTTGGAGCAAAGCTTTTAATTATTTTTTTTTCGCATTTATCCTTCGACCCCAACCCAACCCCACGACATTCTTCATATTTTTAAAAACATTTCACACAAGAACAATTCCCGCAAACCGATAAATTCTAATATTTTTTTCTTCCCATTTTTACTTCCGTCTTATTTTTCCTTTTTCTTCTTTCTTTCTTTCTTTCTTTCTTTCTTTCTTTCATTTCTAATACTTCCTATTTACTTTCTTTCATACTTCTTTATATTCTTTCTTTCCTTCTGCTTTCCTTTCTTTCATTTTTCATTCCTTCCATCTTTTATTCTTTCATTCCTTCCGTTTTCTTTCTTTCTTTCTTTCTTTCTTTCTTTCTTTCTTTCTTTCTTTCTTTCTTTCTTTCTTTCTGTCAGCTTTTCTTTTTCGTTTGTCTTCCTATTTCTTTTCTTTTCTTTCTTTCTATTTCCATGCCTTTCTTTTCTCACTTTCATTCTTATTTCTGTCTTTTTTCGTTTCCTAACTCTTTTCTTTCTTTCTTTCTTTCTTTCTTTCTTTCTTTCTTTCTTTCTTTCTTTCTTTGCTTCATATTTATTTTATTTTTTCTATGTATCTTTCATTCTTTTTTATAATTTTTCTTTCTTTCTTTATATTCATTTTATTTTTTCTATTTATCTTTCATTCTTTTTCTTTTGTTATGCATTCTTTCTTTCTATAATTCTTTCTTTATTTCTTTCTGTATTTCTCTGTCTTTCTTTCTACACATTGTTCTTATTTAAACGTAAAACTCCATAGAATAAGTGGAAGATAAAAAGAACAAAACAAAAAAAAACCATTTGCGTTGTGTATTCTATTCATTTTCTCAATTTCCAGTTTTCGTAATCTAAATTTTTTTACTCATGTCATCTGATTTGATTTTCCTTTCAATCGTTTATAGACATTTTTTTCCCTAATTGAGAAGTTAAAAAAAATATAACTAAAATAAATAAAAATAAAACATATAAAAAATTAAAGTCCCTCTTTCATTTCTCTCCAGCATTTTTACCCCGGAATGGCTAACAACTTTGATTGTATTATCTTGAGGATATTTTCCCTTTGCCCGTATTTTTATAATTTTTTTTCTCCTGTTTCAAATCCTCGCCATCTTTATATCTTTTCAATTCATCTTCTGCTTTCTCAAATTTACTCAGTTATGTCCCTTGGTTGCGTTTTCATTACTATTTAAATCGTTTGAGGCTCTCGTTATTTTTTGTAATGTTTTATGAGGTTTGCGATCTCGACTTCTGTTCATGTGATTGTATTATTTTTTTCCGGTTGTCATAAACTCTAGGCTTTTTCAAAAGAATTCAAACGTCATTATATCTTCATAACGACTACAACGGGCGGAGATCTCTTTAAAATTTCTAACTGTATCCTTGTTCTTTATGTCGTTACCATGAAAGCATATGTGAGACAGATTCGAAAACAATGATTTTATACATTTATAAGTCATCGGATTTTAGAAGTATCGACTTGAATGTTTATACCTAACGATCGAAATTTGTAGCTGGTAAGACTTAGTATTTGTCTCCCCATAAATTTCTTTTTTTCTCTATCTTTGTCGATTTCTCTCTCTATTTCTCTCTCTCTGCCTCTCTCTGTCTGTCTATCTGTCTGTCTGTCTGTCTGTCTCTCTCTCTCTCTCTCTATATATATATATATATATATATATATATATATATATATGATGGCTGAACAAGTACGACTATCATAGGCAAGTTTGATCAATGGTTTTCGGATCTCGTGAAGCCTACAAATGGCTAAATTTTGATTTGTATAGACGCTTGCCTGTTTTGTACAGAACCTTGCCTGTTTTGTAAAGTCTGTTCCTCTTGCACGTAGGTTTTTCTGTGACGGGAGAGAGGTTAATCTGGCCTGTTTTTTTTTTAGAAAGTCTGAGCTGTTTTGAACAGAACCTGGTCTGATTTTTACAGAGTTTGGTCTTTCTTTGTACAGAACTTTGTTTTGTACAGAGCCTGGCCTGTTTTATACAGAAGTTCGCCATTTTCGTACAGAGCTTTTCTTGTCAAGTAAAGTCACTTCCTCTTGCTCGTTGTTTTTTATGTGACGAGTGAGAGGTTTATGTAGAATTTCTGACACACTCAGAGCCTGGCCTGTTTTCTACCGAATCCGGTATATTTGTACCGAGCCTGGCCTGCGTTGTACAGAGCCAGGCCTGTTTTGTACCAAGACTGGCATGTTTTGTACAGAATCTCTCCTGTTTTTTCCAGAGCCTGGTCTGTCTTGTAGAGAACCTGAGCTGTTTTATACAGAACGAAGTTTTTTGTGCAGATCCTGGTCTGTTTTGTACAGAGCCTCGTCTGTTTTGTACAGAGATTGGTCTGTTTTTTTTACAGAGCCTGATCTACTTTGTAAACTGCCTACCCTGTTTGTATAGAGCCTTTCCTGTTTTGTACAGAGCCTGTTCTGTTTTGTACAGTACCCGGCCCGTTTTGTACAGAGCCTGGTCTGTTTTGCCCAGAACACAGCCTGTTTTGTACAGAAATTGGTCTGTTTTGTACTGAAATTGGTCTGTTTTGTACAGAACCAGACTTCTTTTGTACAGACCCTAGTCTGTTTGTACAGAGCTTGGTCTGTTTTGTACGGATCCTGGCCTGTTTCTTACAGAGCTTTGCTTCTTTTGTAATAACTTTTTCTCTTTCTCGTATTTTGTTATGTGACAGGTGAGAGTTTTATGTAGTCTTTCCGACACACTCAGTGCCTCAGTTTTGTAGAAAGTCTGGCCTGTTTTGTACAGAGCCTGGCCCGTTTTGTACTGAGCCTGGTCTTTGTGAATTCAGTTCCGCTTGCTCGTAGGTTTTTATGTGACTCGTAAGAGGTTTACGCAGTCTTTTCTGACACTCGTTATCTCCAGCGTAATAATGATCATAACTTTTGAGGAGTCTGGAAATATTACTCTTCTTGCTGCTTTCATTGAAGAGACATATTTTGCCACATTCATCACATGCACATTGATGGATTGCTAGATCAATGGTTTCTCTTGTCTAACTGCATGCTTAAAATAAGGGACATTTATTGTATATCAGTGGAAGATCTCCACATATATGAAACACTCTGCGTACATATACGTACACATGTTTTTGGTTATACATAAATACACGCTTCCATACACACAGATCCTCCTATATATATATATATATATATATATATATATATATATATATATATATATATATATATGTAAAATGAATACAGAATCTTTAAATATCCATTCGATCTGGTGATAATTTATTTCGTGGACTCAGAAGTCCATCTCATCAGATCAATTTTACAAAAATAAATTCAATTCAATTTATTCAGACACAAAGAAAAGAAAAAAAAAGGAAGTAAGAAAGGAAAATTTTTAATATTAAAATTTGAAGGCAAAAAGGACGAGAAAAAGATTTCAATATAAGATTTTTTTTAGGGTGAAGAGAAAGATAGATAGATATGGGGAGGAGAAAGGGTAAGAAATTGAGTAATTTGAGAGCCGATCTTCAAGTACAGTCGAATCTGTTACCTTAACCTGCGTGTTAATACCCTTGGGCAAGCGATGAATCCTTTTCTTTCCCTAGGTATGGGTAAATATCAGGACAGACTGGGTTCTATAGCATTAGATGATAACTGGTCTAGGAAAAGGACAAAAACTGAGAATGGTCGGGTGGGGACATTTGTGGCACACGGTGCACCAGGTCTCTGTATCCGACTCTTCGTGGTTGGTTCAGCACAAAATCGTCACCGGATCTTCGTGGTTTGTTCAGCACAAAATCGTCATCATTATAATGTGGTGATATTAGCCGTTCCCTTATCAGGAAACATTCAGCTCTTATTGTGGGGTTCGCCGCTTGTACACAACATGGACTCGTCCAAAGTATACTTATACTACGGAGAGATAGCGTGACAAAAACGTCGACACAGGGTGTTCACGCAGAGTTATACGAGACTCCAGAAAGAGAGATAATTACGGCTTCACTTACAGAGACTTGTACATATACTTTTCCACTAACCCTCATTCCTGGACTACTAATCTTCATTTCAAGTTTGTATTCTCACGTTTAATACACATATTTTTCTATTTCAATTACTGGCGTTGTTTATTTATTTGTGCAGGATTCCCTCCTCGGAATCCACAACAACTTGGCGACGAGGACTTCGGACCCACACGAAAAAAAAATTCTCTCTCACCAACACAATAATTTGGCGACGAGGATTTGCACTTCTCGGAAAAAAATGCCGTTTGCCAGTGTCCACAAATGACATATATATATATATATATATATATATATATATATATATATATATATATATATATATCACTCATTTTATCCTTCTGGTCTTCATCGGACCAAACTAGACTTTGCGATTAAGGAACTCTCTAGAAATTTAGACAGAGAGAGTGCAATGTGATCTACAGTAGATGTGCGCGCTGTCTCTTACATATAATACACACACACACACACACGCACACACACACATATATATATATATACATATGCAGTTTCCAATGTTTTCTTTACAATGGAATATTGTCACGATACTTGTAAAAGTAGTAGTCTGTGGGTGAGAAATCATAGGAATATGGATGTGGCAAAATCTCGTGTCACAAGTGGGTGAGATTCCACAGTGTCATCTTGGCAACATGTGGTCAAGAATTGTCATGATGCAGTATAAGACCCTCGTCGATGAACCATCGTCAACTGCATTTTGCTAAACTGAATTTGAATTCCATCCAGTTTTTGGCATTTAACGACAGCAGTGATGTTCTAATTCGATTCCAGAAAGCGGTTATGTATGTAAATGGCGGACCACAAAAAATTCCCCATCGTCTTCTCTTGGAGCAATATCAGTTTTGGAAAGTGTTTGGGTCCTTCGTCATCATCAAACCATTGAACCGATCGTTTACGATTGACATAAAGGTTCCATCTGTCATCACAAGTCACTACTTGATTATGGAATGGATCTTTTAAATTTCGCAAATGCAGCACTTGAAAACTTCAATGTCTTTGACTTTCACAGAGTTCATGTGGATCACACTTACACTTTCGTCACTTTTTTAAAAACTTTTTTGAGATAGTCCGATATTGTTGAAATGCTGTCACCCATTATTTAAAACATTTCTCTGACAATTTGACGTTGACATTTTTCGACCAATGTTTTCAGATGTGGATTGTCAATTGCAGATGAACTTCCTCCACCTCCTTGATATTCAAGACTCGTAACCCCACTGCGAAAACCAACGACCTACTGTCCCGCAAACTGATACATTATTTTTACTTTCTATATTTACTTCCATCTTTCTTTACGTTTCTTCCTGCTTTCTATCCTTTCTAAAACCCTATTTATTTTCTTTCCTTCTATTTTCCTTTCTTTCATTCTTTCATTCTTGAATTCTTACATTCTTTCTTTCCTTCTATTTTCCTTTCTTTCATTCTTTCATTCCTTCTTTCTTTCATTCTTTCTTTCCTTCTATATTCCTTTCTTTCATTCTTTCATTCCTTCTTTCTTTCATTCATTTTTTCCTTCTATTTTCCTTTCTTTCGTTCTTTCATTCCTTCTTTCTGACATTCTTTCTTTTCTTTTATTTTTCTTTCTTTCAATCATTCATTCTTGAATTCTTACATTCTTTCAATCGTTTATTCTTGAATTCTTACATTCTTTCATTCATTCATTGTTTTTTCTTTTTCGTTTGTTTTCTTTTTATTTTATTTATTTCTGTCTGGCTTTTTTTTCGTTTGTCGTCTTTATATTTCTTTTCT